GCTGTCTCCGCCCCCACACCGCTCTGCTGCACTGTGATAGGCGGCCGAGCGGTGTGGGAGGAAAGACACCGGCCGCTCACAGCGCTCGTCCCGCAGCGCTCGGCCGGCTGTCATTTTCTCTCTGATTCCTTTCATCCCTGCTGGGCACTGCTCTGTGTCCCAGCGGGGATGAAAGGAACCACGGCCGCGCCGACAAAACGGCAGGAAAATGTCACTTTCGGCATTTAGCCGAAAGTGCCATTTTCGGCCGGCGCCCCCCTTCACTTTTCGCCCGCGCCCCTGCTGCTCCCCCGGTTGTTACGCCACTGGTATACAGCTGTCTGCCTGATGGAGGATATACAATACAAACAGGGCCGTCCCTATATTAACCACCTCTCTCTAGATCTGAGCAGGCATCTTTAGACGCCCGCTCAGCCACGCTCACTCGGGAAAGTCCAAAAATGTAAATAACCGGCAGCGATGCCTGTTAACGTACAAGTGATGCGCTGGCTATAGAGCCGGCGGATCGCTTGTATAAGCTGCCGGTCCGTGTGTGTCCGAAGCCCCCCCACCTCCCCCTGTCTTGCTGGTCCCGGGCTCCGCTGTGCCCGGTAATCAGGAGGCCCAGACAGGAAACAGGGACAGAGAACTGGAGGATGGGGGGCTGCAGGTACCGAAGGTAGTTGATGCTATGTCATCCTTATTCCCCCTCCATCACTTATTGATGCCTGTGTCCCCCACCATACTGTCTGTGTTCTACCCAATGAGCATTCCTCAACCTCTCCACCTATAATATACTACTGTCTGTATATGACTCCCCCCACACACACAAACTACACTTGTATACTACCCCCCATACTTGTGTAGCACAACATCATGCATTGTGTATTGTTCATGCATGTTTTTGCATGTGTCAGGCATAGGACAGCCCATTTATTTCAATGGGCTGCCCTACGCATGACAAATGCGGGCAAAGAAGCTCATGCACTTTTTGGAAGCGGTTTGTACCCGTGCATGTTTTGCACGTTTGTCTTGCGTCTTACTTGGTGCTTTCATTTTCAACACACCGCAAGCACGACATGCGGTTTTTTGTGCGATTTGTGAACGGTGGCTTAGTGTAAGGCTTAAAGAGAATATGTGCTTTTCCTGCGCATGGTGAAGCAACAGGTTCACATTATTTCCGACCCTGTGGTTGATACAAGAAGCAGCTTGGAGCTTACACTGCGCAAAGGACTCTCTTTCTCTCTGTGCCCACGTGTACTGGCACTGGTGCCTAAGCAACCAATCGCAAAGCACCAGCACTGTCACGTGGCAGAAAGTGGAGTCAATGACATGCTTTTAAATAAATGGAAGTACTGGGTGTGCAAGTTTACTTTCCTGGGTGATGGTTTAGAAAAGGCAAGATGCAGCTGTGGGGACCAGCATTAACACATGACTTCAGTGGCGTCACAAGGGGGGTGCGGCCCACAACCAGGTGAAACCATTGGAGGGGTGACACCAAAATGAATTACAGTCATTTTGGTGTCACCCCCTCTAAAAAGTCGGGCACTCGGTCATGGACCGAGAGCCGGATAGTGTCAGGAGAGAGGAGGGGACCCGGCGGCATACCTCATCCCACCGGGTGAACGCCCCTTCTCTCTCTGCCGGCCTCCAACACTAAGATGGCCGCTGGCTGGCGTCAAGTAGATGACCGCGCATACACGATGATGTCATCATGCACACGTGTGGTGACATCACGGCGGCGTGTCACCCGGTCTCCGGATGCCCCTGCGTGACTTTGCCATTCATGGGCAGTTTATTTGAATATTACCCTTAACACTTAAAATAGATGGCAAGTATAGTAACCTGAATACCACTAAGAGGCTGATTTGTAAACCGTTCGCACAGCCCTTCCCTAAGTGAACCAGATTAGCAGCACTGTATGGAGTGTATGTATCACCAGTAGATGGAGCCGAGGAGCATAGCATTTTTTTCTATGCTCTTTGGCTCCATCTAGTGGCCATACGGCTCTCCTAATCTCGTTCACACAGCAAAGGGCTGTGCGAACGGTTTATAAATTACCCCGAATATAATACTAATAGCCCTTTGCAGCAAAAGATCTCTTTGTTAACAAATCTGGCTCCACATAATATTTTTTTGCCCTTTTTAAAGTGGTCACGTGACCACTGAAAAAGTAATGGTATTCTTCTTCTGTTGGTGGAGGGTGGGATCTAGCAACTTACCCTTGGGGAGAGTGGGAGTAGGTGAATTGACACTAGCTCCAAACCTGACAATGCCTATATGTTAATGGACACCAGCATAATGAGGTCACATTAACATGATGGCTTCCTGTAACCATCAATGATTTTCTTACACCTCTCTACCGGAATTTTGGAGCACTCTTCTTTCGCCAACTGCTCCAGGTCTCTCAGATTGGAAGGGTTCCTCTCCACAGGTACTCTATGGGATTCAGATCTGGACTCATTGCTGGCCAGTCCAGTACTCTCCAGCGCTTTGCCTAAAACCATTTCTGGGGGCTTTTTGATGTGTGCTTTGGGTCATTGTCCTGCTGTGAGACCCATGACCTCTGACGGAGACCCCACTTTCTGACACTGGGCCCTGCATTGCACCCCAGAATTCTTTGGTAGTCATCAGATTTCATAATGCCATGCACACAGCCAAGACATCCAGTGTCTATAGCAGCAAAGCAACCCCAAAACCTCAGTGACCGCCCCCCCACCATGTGTGACTGTAGGGACTGTATTTCTTTTCTTTAAAGGACTAATTTCTTGTTCTGAAAACAGTAGAATGATGGTCTGCACCAAAGATCTGTCATTTTGTTTCCTCAAAAAGCTGTTCAAACATGAGAATGCCAAAATATTTGTAATTGCGACAATTTTCTGAGCGAAGAGGTGCATTATCTGACAGATGCAGGGGTGCCAATATTTTTGGCCACGACTGTATATTATTATAATATTTGATATTATTATATATTTTTTCAGCAGTGAAGTTGGCTTCTAACTGGTGCTTAATGAAGAAGCAGAGTGAAGAAAGATGACAAGTCTTTCTGTGTTTATTGATGTTCCCAAAGCATCCAAGCTAAAAGATGAACAACAAGAAGAGGCTTTCCTGCAGGACGGAGACGAGAGGAAGATATTTTTGGGGGAAAAAGGTTAGGACTATATGTTTGGATCAATCATGTATGAAGAAGGTTTAACTGCAAAAATGTTTCATTATCGTGATATATTTAAAGGCCAAGGTAACCTTTTGGAAAATCCATCAAGCCCCCTCTCTAGCCCCCTCAATGCACTCAGCTGGACTAACTCTGACAGTTGTAGCCCAGCCGGTAATCTAGTACCTGGATTCCTGCTCCTGCACAGTAACACCCAATAGACTTGAATGCAGTTTTTCTCCTGCAGTATGTTCCATTGGAGGCTATGGGTCATTAGAATTCTGCCATGGTTAGCACGACACTAGATTTTTACCTACTGGGCTGCAAATTGCGTGTATTACCATATGGTTGGTGGGAATTAGATTACATATGAAGGATCTGTTTTTATTGCTTGTTTTATTTTATTAAGCCTATCCCACCTCAACCTAACCACTGAACTATCACATTCTCAAACAATTCATCCCCACACAGCTTTCTCCTCATGTATCACTTGCCCCTCCCTTTTAGATTGTAAGCCCTCAGGGGCAGGGCCCTCCTTACCACCTTGTCTTGAATTGTATTGTGATTGTAATGTCTTATGTAATGCCTTATATTGTAAAGCGCCGCACAAAATGTTGGCGCTATATAAATGCTGTATGATAATAATTTATTATTATTTTGTATAGCAGCAAAAAATTCCACAGCGCAGAGTACAACATTGCCCGCCCAAGAGGAACCTAATATGTTTTATTTCAGAGAGAGACTTTAGCATTTGTTGGCCCTATTGCAAGACTAACATACTTTCTTCTGGAGCCTTAAAATAGATCAGCGTCTCTCCTTTTCAGATCAGCAGAACTGCCAATGTAGATATTAAACCCGTCTCTAGTCATGCTGTGCCCCAAACCTCTGAGTGATCATCGCCAGCCTCTGATTGACAGCATCCTGTAATGACTACATTTAGCTGTAGGTTGTCAATGTTTTAGAGTTTTAGTTGCATTAAATTGTATTCACAAGCTTTTCATCATAATCTTTAAAGCGTCATGCTAAACTTAGGAGTCAAATCTTAAAAATACATTCAAGTACTCTAACTATTAACAAAAATATATCTTCTTTGTGTATCACTTGGCTGTAGATCCAGTGGTGTCACAAGGGGGTGCGGCCCGCAGCCAGCTGCCACCATTGGAGAGGGTGACAGCAAAATGACTGACAGTCATTTTGCTGTCACCCCCTATGAAAAGTCGGGCACTTGGTCATGGGCCGAGAGCCCGACAGTGTCAGGAGAGAGGAGGGGACCCGGTGGCATACCTCATCCCGCCGAGTGAACATTTCCTACTCTCTCTGCCGGCGTCCCTCACCAAGGCGGCGTCCCTCAATAATACAACCGCTCACGCGCGATGATGTCACGGCGGGGTGTCACGCGATCTCTGCTCCGGGTGTCACCCAGCCTCGAGGACGCCCCTGTGTAGCTTCTTAAATCATCTCTGAATTGGTGCTGACACTGTCCTTGCTTCCAGAGGGCGGCTACTTTTGTTCTCCATGGTCCCTGTGTGTGTTGTAAAGTAGTCACCGCTCCAAGCTCACTCCCGGGATGGACTACAATCTCAATACAAATTAGTATACTAAACATGAGATTGTAGTCCAGCACAGGAGGGAGCTTGGAGTGGTAAGAGGACAGTGTCAGCCCCAATTCAGAGATGATTTGAGGATCTACAGCCGAGTGATACACAAATAAGATACATTGTTGTCAAAAGTTAAGGTACTTGAATGTATTTTTAACTCCTGAGTTTAGTGTCACTTTAAATATTTAGATGTGTTTGTAGATTTGCTTTATACATTTTACTTGCTTCTTAGGCCCTACACTTGGTTTAGACTCTAGGCCTTATTTGTACACGTATTAGTACTTGAAAGGATCTCTGGTTGTAACTTTAACATTTATACAAGTCCATAGCATACCAATTTTAAGTAATCAATTTGTGGACCATTTCCAGCAGCTAATGGAACATGTTTGTAGAGTTGGCATATATCAGGTCTTACGTGTGCTAGAACCTGGAATGTGCAGCGTTTTGTTAAATGCTCCTTTTTGCTCCACAGTGTTTGTGTCTGATGATGGCCTGCCATGGGTTCCTCTGGCAGTGAGGAGGGTGTACTTGCAGCAATGCAATGATCCAACACGAAATTACGAATATCTGCCAGTAGGTGGAAGTCCAGAGTTCCTCCGAGGAGTGACCGAACTGGCTTTGGGAAAGAACAGCAAGGCTATCGTTGAAAATAGGGTAACTGGATTTTTAACAGGCAGCAAAATAAACAGTATATACATATGTTTCCCAGTGCTGAAGTTGGGTACCAAAGCTGGATAGTAAGCTACAATTTAATTATTATAATGCCCAAAAAGCAAGGTCTATTGTAAATTAAATAGGTCCATTTCCAGGGAAAAAATACAAGGTCCTTTGACTTACCTTCAGCCCTTCCTTGAGATCTTTACTGTGTGGCCCTGTCTGGGATAGAATAACATAGACACCAAGTAATGAATCAATGGCATCTGCTTATTGACGCATGAGACATAGCACAATGCATCAAAAAGCAACATTTCTGGGTCTCACAAGATCCCCTTCATCAGGCCAAACGAGTGATGCAAATGCAAGTGAAACCATATACATTGTGGGGGTATAGCTCAAATGGGGATCACCTTCCCTGGAAAAAAGGTAGTCCAGGCAGCAAAAGTTATTTTTCAATCTGACTAGCATACAGTTTTTATTAAAAAGGTTGCAATAAAACAGAAAACAAATCCTTGCCATCCAGGCTCTGACTAAACTGGCTGGTTTCCTCTCTACCAAGTGGTGAGCTTATCTCAGCCACCTCAAAAAACAAAAATACTTTCCGCAACCTTTTACTCACTCCCATCCAACTTGTATCTCTAGCTCTATCTATCATCCCAGGCCAGAGCAATATCATGTTTCAGCCTTCCCCTTTTATCTCACCTGGATAATCACTCATTAAGCAATTAACAATCCAGGTGAGAGACACAAAACCCGAGCTGGATTATTCAGACCCAAAGTCAACCCGAAAACCTGGTCTGGGTTCCACAAGTCCTGCACTTAGGATAGAAAGCGAGGGGAAATATATTGCCCCTCGATGACTTCCCCTTTCCTTATGTCACAACATATATACACACCATAATGTGGAAATAAGCCAATCCCCAAGTCTGCCGTAATCATGTGACGTCCTGATTACGGCAGACTTGGGGATTAGCTTATTTCCACAGTATGGTTTTGGTGCATTGTGCTATATCTCATGCGCCAATAAACAGACACCGTTGATTCATTACTTGGAGTTCCGGATGTCTATGTTATTCTGTGATTATAGACGGTTGCCATCCGTCGACTCCCGCCGCACCCATCTTTCATATGGAACAGCGGTTTTGAGTGCGATGGGTTCATGGACTGTATCCTGTCTGGCATAGCACACCCTTTGCAGAAAGAAGTCCCGGCCACATCCAGCTAACTGCAGCGCTTGCTCACCGCTCACCCATTCATTCCTATTACTGGTCCATACTCATAGTAACAACCATCCAGGAGTATAAGGCGCAAGCCATGGGAACAAATGAGGTGGATCCGTTAATTTGCAGTAGGATGGATTCTGATGTGGCCAGGACTTTTCTCCCCAAAGGCTGTGTGTCACCAGGAAGGGGAGGTCTCAGGAACGGAACTAAGTGCCTAGGTAGGTGGCTGTCTCAAGGAGAAAGATTTGAAGGACAAGTACTCTTAGAATAAAGTAGTCTTTTAATTAGTTTCCTCATACTATGGTGTACCTGTTAATAAACTAAACTTAAAAAAGGGTAATACATTGAATAATTTTTAATACATTTGGTCCAAGACATTCCCCATGTACTGTAATTATATTCTATCTTTGTGTAATTGTAACCCCAGGCTGGTGGGATACAAACACCGGGGAGCAGAGCAGCTTTTAGAGTTGGCGTTGAATTCCTCCATCATTGGTACAGCATGAACCACAAGATATCAGTCTGTATCCCTCACCCCGACTGTGGTATGTTTCATTTTATTTTTTTGTATGGTATAGAACCCTTATTTTAAAGGCACTGACCTCTTGCATAGCATATTATATAATTTGAAGAATGATATAGAATTTGGCTTTCGAATTTGGTACAGTCGAGGAACATTTCTATCAATGCAGCCTGCAGCCAAGGTCCCCAGCTGTAACAAAGAACATTTTCATGTTTTACTCATCTTAACCTGGTCTGCCATGTTGTATAAGTGTGTAAATAAATTTTTATGACATGGATGATGATAGAAAAATATATGTAGTCAAGAACTGAACTGGGAAAAGCTGCCTCTTTGTCTCTGTCACCTATAGGCGCAAGCCAAGCTGGGTACAATCAAGGCCGTCCCTATAATGAGTCAGTTGCCTCAGGCGCATCTCATTGGGTCTCACCTGTGACGCTCTGGCCAGCGTCCCACCCAACTAAGCAACATCACTGGTTTCCAGGAGCAAAACAGGATGCTCTGGCTGGCGTCTCATCCAGCTTCTTGGCAACCAGTGATGTCGGTGAGCTGGCTTTTTTTATTGATGGCTCTTCCATTCTTTTCTATACAGTATAGTCTCGCTTGTGCAATGCAGCCCACGCACCCGGCTGAATATGGATGTAAACAACCCTAGGCAGGGCATTTCTGATAATGAAGCAGCTGAGGTGGATACCTCGGGCCGCATCTCATTGGTTCACGTGCCGCCCCCTTTCCAGCCAGAGCGTCCCAGCTCATAGCAACCTGTGATGCACTGGTCACTGCCCAGCTCACTGATGTACCTGGTTGCCAGAAGTTGAGCAGGATGCTCTGGCTGACGTCCCGTCCAACACCTGGCAACCAATGATGTCAATAAGTTGGGCGAGATGCTGTGCATCATAACTCGATAAAGACATCACCAGATCATCAAGATTATGTGTCAATGCAAAATCCCATCCTTTTATTTACGCATGTTGTCACTCAGTACAAGCACTTACAGGGCCTGATAAAGGGGACCCTGCACAGCCCCCGAAAGCGCTTGAACTGAGCAACGTGTCAATAAAAGGACGTGATTTTGCATTGACACATAATCTTGGTGTGCTGGTGATGTCAGATGAGAGAGGCAGAGCCAGCTGTCAATCAGGCAGAGGAGTGGATTCTGACAATATTGTCAGAATCTTTACCAGCCACAGCGCATCTCGGTGCTCTCCACATATAGCAGGCAATAGCCCGCTATATGCTGAGTTTGGGGTCACAGGAGGACATGGTAAATGTTCTCCTGAGATCCTAAAGAGAACTATGGGGGAAAAAAGGTAGGGCCATAGTTCTCTTTTAACTTTAAAATAATAATGACCTGTACAGGCATTTAAAGTGTCGCCTATGGACAATTTGGCGTACCAAAGTTTTTCACCGTTTCACAGGCGCACACAATTTTGATCCTTGATATGTTGGGTTTCTTTTTACTCAGCACAAACTCATCCAGTGGGGAAGCTAGACATTCTGTCACTCGGGGCAAAGGGTCAGAGTTGCTCCCTCCCCAAGGGAGAAGTTCTCCATCCACACATCCGGAGGCACCCCTCGTTAAGGGGCACCCGGGGCACATGACCCCCAGACCTCCCTCCCATTTGGCCCTGACCTCATCTTTTATATTTTACCAAAACAATGGGCATTAGATTGTGTTTGTATGCACTAAAACTAATTAGAATGCATTTAGGTTTGATAAACTGTTGCGCTAATATTGTGCATTTTAAAATGTGTGCATAAGAAGAAAAATGGCTCTGGCAGGGTAGTGAAAGGGTTAAATGACATTTAGCAAAGTTTCTAAAGGTTTTAGTAACAATGTATTTAAGGAAATAATCTCCTCATCTCTTATCCCACATCAATGACAACAGATATTTCTTGACTTCAGCCGCCTGCATCTCCAGAAACCACTTTTGTCTTTCAGCCGCTGTCATTACTAATTGTCTCTCTGCAGGTTTCAGCTGAAATGTGCTGACTTAGGGTATAACCCAGGAAATCCTAATTCTAAGAGAAAATATCTTACATTTCTAATTATAGTATCCGACACAAGATCACTGCACTTCAACCAACACAGATTTCTCCTCCAACTATTTCTTCCAGAAAGTACAAATAAGAATGTTATGACGCTGCTTACAATATATGATCCCGATATAGAAGGCATGCATTGTATGTGCCACACATTATTTAGACTTTGTTCTTTGATGCTGTCTAACTATTGGGCGTGTTGCTTTGGACAGTCCATCTTTGTTGACCTGTTTTTGGATCTATTTAAAGGAGTTGTAAAGTCCCAGCATACACTCTCCTGTCATAACATCAACATTGTAATAGCAATACATACTAGAGTTGTTTTTCATAATGCAATCAAAGCTTACTGGAAAAAAAATCCCTTTTATGTAGTAAGTGCTACTTTCTATCTGCCCATCACTTACAACAACTTCCTGGATTTCCAGTGTGCTTTGTGTTTCTTTCCCTACTGCTTCATGTGATGCAATTTCCATTTCTCAAGACTACACATCCCATCATGCATATTTATTTTTTGGTTTTTGACCATATTTGTTATTTTGAGGAACTAAAGCCAAAATATTTTTTTTTCTTTTTCATTTTGGATAGAGTAAAGTTTATAACCCATGGCATTTTGTTTTGCCATCTGTGTCCTATCGGGAGATTTCCCTCCACTTCCTCTCCGATAGCCACAACAGAAAGTAAGAGGCATTACCTAATGGGGGGAATCCCTAACTGTCACCAGAACTAGGGTCCCCATTTTAAGATTTCCCCTAAATTCCTGTTCTGGTGACAACTCACACTTTTAGATTTCTCCCACTTTCAGTCTTGTTGATAACAGTCACCAGGACAAATAGAGCGAGGATGAATCCCTACAACAATTACCCAGACAGCAATAAAACCTAGAAGGTATTTTAATCCCTTAGCACATTATCCAAAACTGAAAATAAATTGGCTTTAGTTCTACGTTAAATATATTTTTAACGCGTGGCAGCTCACATATATTTCAATAGAAAGTTATTTTTTTTTAAAGAGTCTTTAAAATGTATGTAAACGCAAATCTTTATTTCATTTTAAATTGAGTTGGGAAAGGTTAGAATCATTGTTAAGCATTTAATGTTGTCTGTGTTAAAGTGACACTACACTCAGGAGTTCAATCTTGAAACTACATTCAAGTTCCTTAACTAATAACAGAAATGTATCTTATTTGTGTATCACTCCTGTGATGGACTACAATCTCACATTTAGTAGGCTAATTTGCATTGAGATTGTAGTCCATTACGGGAGTGAGCTTGGAGCGGTGGCTACTTTACAACACGCACAGGGACCATGGGGAACAAAAGTAGCCCCCCCTCCAGAAGGAAAGACAGTGTCAGCACCAATTCAGAGATGATTGGAGGATCTACAGCCGAGTGATACACAAATAAGATACATTATTGTTAATGATTTGAGTACTTGAATTTTTTTTTTAGATTGAACTCCTGAGTTTAGTGTCACTTTAAGAAACCGTTTCTAATCACTTGGAATTTTCTGCTGAAAAGCAGAAATAACTATTATATAAGTGAAGTTAGAAGACTCATCAGAGCAGTTGGTTATCTCATAACCCCTTCCTTTGAACCAGGAAAGATCACATAAACAAAAGACCCAAAGTGATGACACTGGTGTATCCTGCTTTCCCACAATTCCCAGCAAGCTCTTTAAACTTGGCATCTGTAAACAAACCCTGCTTGGCACGCTAAAAACAATGAGAGCTGCTCTTGGGAGATGTGTTTCTCGTTGCCCCATACACAGCTCACTTCCCCCTCGCCACTTGAATTGTATTTGGTTTCTTCCGACTGTAAACTGCCTACTGGGAGCATTACCCATGGCCGCCATCAATCACTCTCTTGCTATTTTTATTCATTTCCTTGCGATAGTTCAAGCTCCCGCTCTTCTTTCTCAGCTTGGATTTCTTATTTCTGAACAGGAAAAGCTGGGTGGCTACAGCAGCCAAAGGAAAAAACACAGCCCGGCTGGACTATAGCTTACAGGCCAAGCTAGACCAATGGCATTCAGACTAAAGACAAATAAAGCTGCTGTCCGGCCCTTGGCTGGGCAGGATCACACGCAATGTTATTGTATAGGATGGCACCTCTATTGTCTACTTAAGTAATCTTTGTTTAGGTTATCGGAGAGGCATCAAAGGAGCTGCAAAGTATTCTACAGCATTGCCAAAGCTATCCGGATAAACAATATAGGGCTGTTAAATATTTTATAGGCATTCTATGCAATGGTGACCTTTACTGTATAATGGCTTTGTTTTGTATGTTACCCATCAATGAAAGAGGAAACCTTATTCTACTCATTGGCCAACTTATTAAATGTATCAATTTCATTCCAATTTTCATTTTTTTTCCCCCCCAAGAAAATAAATTCACCTTTCCATGCATTCCTAAACTTGTCATTTATGTACCGGAGACAATGCAATATCAAGAATAGATTGTACGGCCATGGAGACTCTGCGCTGTACATGATCTTTCCACTGTAGATCCCTATTTCACTTAAATGTCTCCATTTAATTTTTTGGTCTGCAGTGGGTCTAAATAGACACAGGAGCACCATCCACATGTACAAGCTTTCAGACCATGGATTAAAGCTCCTGTGCCAAGAATCAGTTACAGAATGGCATCCTTGTTTCACTAGGAAAACCCTTATTGGAGTGCAGAAACAAGAGCTATTTTTTTTTTAAAAACAGCAGAATGGTCAATAGTACCAAATTGAAGTTGTTGTTACAGTGACCAATCAGAATCCTTGTTCCAATCCAGAATTCTTCCATTAAAGAAAGGTGAAATCTGGGAGAGTGAAATTATCAGAGAGTAAAGACCTTAAAAAGAGAGAAACAGCTGGATACCATGAAACCCATGGACTACAATCTCCTTTTTAGTTTAATAATTTGTATTGAGATTGTAGTCCATCCCGGAAGTGAGCTTGGCGCGGTGACTACTTTACAACACACACAGGGATCATGGGGAACAAAAATAGCCCCCCACCAGAAGGAAGGACAGTGTCAGCACTAATTCAGAGATGATTGGAGGATCTACAGCCAAGTGATACACAAATAAGATACATTGTTGTTCATAGTTAAGGTACTTGAATGTATTTTTGAGATTTAACTCCTGCGTTTAGTGTCACTTTAAGAAACTCTTTCTAATCACTTTGAATTTTCTGCTGAAAAGCAGAAATAACTATTATATAAGTGAGGTTTTCTTAGTTTAGTGCCACTTTAATTCCCCTTCTGAAATAGATGTAACATTTTCCATATTAAATATCTCCTATTTCTACTATTTACAAGTTGTATTCATTTATACATTTTGTTTGGTAGATCATTACAGTGAAACATTGGAAGTTGCAGGTTCAACAAACATATATCCTTATCGGGTATGGGACCGCAATAAAGAAATCCCGGCATTATGTGAGATACTGGAAGATCTGGAGGTAACAGACCTACTTATGTCATCATTTTTTGTAACATAAATGTGCAAGTATAAGTTAAAGGCTAATAGTATTCGCCGTATTTGTGGGAGGAGTCCGTTTTACGGAGCGCTATTTTTTTGGGGGAAGGGGGGGCTGATCTGCTGTCGATCGATTCCGGCATACCCTCCCTCCCTTCCAAACATTACAAGAGTATGCCCCCTTATTTGGCATTACTGACCATCAAGATCATGGCACACCTCAGGTTTGTATTGGTATGTTGGGTTACATTTCAGGGTCATATGAGACTCCGAACACAAATTTTAGTTGGCGTTTTAGTTGCTTGTGGAATAGACTTATTGATTCACTTATAAATGGTTCCTAGAGGCACATCATTTATATTTTGCAATGGACATCAGTGTGATGACAGCTTCGATGGGGGTGCCACTCTTAAAAGCACCAGGCCAATGCTCATAGTTTCTTTACAGGCTAAGGCTTCGTTGTTCTTCTCCTTCCCACAATATAATCTTTAATCAAACAAAAGCTACCCAGAACTTTGTCTTAGGACGTCCAATCACATGAGGGCAGAGCTGTGAAGATATTTACTGTAAAACCAGGAGAAACTAGAGTAACGATGGTGCTGGCTTTGATTATCAGATACAATACAATACAAATTAGTAATTAAAATATGAGATTGTAGTCCATCACAGGAGTGAGCTTGGAGCGGTGACTACTTTACAACACACACAGGGACCATGGGGAACAAAAGTAGCCCCCCTCCAGAAGAAAGGACAGTGACAGCACCAATTCAGAGATGATTGGAGGATCTACAGCCGAGTGATACACAAATAAGATCGATTGTTGTTCATAGTAAGGTACTTCAATGCATTTGTAAGGTTCAACTTCTGAGTTTAGTGTCACTTTAAATTCCTACTTAATTTCTAACAGTTACAGACTTCAAAATTTTGAGCAAGGCTTTCCATAATCCTGCTCCTGTAAACCTCTGTCTCTACTATGTGCACAGAGTTTATGTTAGAACTTCTTGCACAGCCTCACAGAGAAGCACAAGCACACAGTCTGATATGCATACTGCTCATGGCTTGGAAACAGGAAGGAAGCCACAGCTGTATTCTCTACCTTATATAATACAACAGAGTATATCTACCATAGATATATAACAGAATTTATATAAATTGCCATCTAGTGACCAAAATTGTATACTGCAGAAGTTGTTGCTATAAACACAATAATGTGTATACTAACAGTTTGAATGTAAATTACCTGCAGCTTTCATATGAAATACTGTATGTCATCCTCTGAATCTGCTGAGATGAGGAAATTACCAGGTTCCTGACAAACCCATCTAATGAACCAGGCCCCTTGTAATGTCTACTTTTAGAAAGCTTGCTTCATTGGACACATTTGTATCAGTGGCATGTTGACTTTCGACAAGATACGTGCACAGTGTACTAATGGTAGATGGAATTTTGTTATGAAGCATTTGTTCGTTGTAAATAAATTAACTTTATTCTTCAAATACTTTTGAAGACTTCTACTACTGATAATATTTGATTTTTTTTTTTTTTATAAGAGAAATCGGTAGGTATCTGAAAGTAATTTATAGATAGAAAAAAGTGCTGAGCAACATTGTAGACAAAAAATAATATAACTGTCAGGTCAGGAACACATTCATTTTCACCTTCCTGTGTCTTCGTCTTCTTCCAGACCTCTCCTGATCATTCCATTGTTGTACTTCCAATATCCTGTACTCCGACTGGGATACAACTTAACAAGAGAGAATGGAAACAAATAGCAGCTTTACTGAAGGTGAGAGGTCACCCTGTATCTAATCGTTAGAAAAATAAACCCACTGCTTCCGATACAGCCAACAGATCATTAACTTTTTCTATCACTATAAAGGGACCCTGTCAGGTTCCAAAAACAAAATTTGCACAAAGCTGTCCCTGCAAAAGAAAAGTACTTACCTCTCCAACGTGCTGCTCTGGTAAACGCCACTCTGATCAAAAGGAACCTTCTTGTGCAATCTTTTAAGAAACTCCTGTGTCCCCTGCAGTGTTGAGTGGTTTCTACCGCCAATCTATAGGGATGAACCTGAGCTCCTCCGAACACCAAAGGAAACCCCTTCCCTTGCCGCCCAATCATCTGCGGTCAGGGAATTCCCCACCTACACATGAAAAGGGACAGGATGCAGTGACATCATTGACCTTATATGGCTACATGGCTATATTTGGTCAATGTCATTGACCTAATATGGCCATATATGGTCCTTGACATCAGCAGAAGCATCCCACCCCTTTATGTGCAGCTGCGAGGTGAAGAATGCCCTGCCCACAACTGATTGGCCCCATGTAGCTTCCGTGTTCAGTGGAGCTCTGATTCCAGTTGGGTCAGATCTGAACCTGAGCTCATCCCTATTGATCTCCACATCACTACTGTGTGCTATAGTGACGTAGTGGTCAGCAGGAGGAACCACTGAGAGCTGTGAGGTACACCGGAGATCAACACTCCCAAAAGGTTTGTTTTCTCTAAATATTTCACAGGCGGATTGGAGCAATGTTTGGCAATGCAGTCAGCAGGAAAATTAAGTATTTGTATTCTTCTACTGGAGAGATAGCTTGATGCCATTTTTTTAGCCTACAGGATTACTTTAAGTCTTTTGTTGGATTTGTACTTAGGTGCATCAAAACAAAAGATGGTCAAAGCCTTACAAGTAGTTTTCTTTGAAAAGCACCCACAGAATGCATATAAAATACTGTCCCCTGCCAACAAACTGCAAACAAGGACCCCTGCTCTGTGTGTGGAAGCAGTGGTCTCTTTGTAGAGGTCTGGCACACACTCTGCTGAGTCAAAGCTTATCTCCTGCCAGCAAATTGCAGAGAAGGAATCTGGCTCTCTTTGTGGAAGCAGTGGTCTCTTTGTAGAGGTCTGGCACGCCCCCTGCTAAGTCAGAGCTGGAGCACACCAATCAGCAGAGATCATGAGCTTTGCTGATTACAGAGATACAGGACTGACTTAGCAGGGCATGTTTCAACCTCTGCAGAGACCACTGCTTCCTCCCCAAGAGCAAAGGCACTTCTCTACAGCAAGCTCTCAGGCCGTGGCTACTTTCTAAATGTAACCAACCACAAGACTTTGTACATCTTTTAAATCACCTGGAATGTATTTTGCTGATTTAAACTGAAACCTTTGTTGGGCTTTGAACAATTGACACCCTTTTTTTTCTAAAATCTTCAGCTTCTGTTTTCATCATATTTACTTTAGACAAAGAACATGTTCCCATTTTTCCACCTGAAAGATCAAGGCCTCTCCTCCGGAGATGTAGACGCCGATGCGTGGCCTCTGCGGCACTTTGTTTCAGAAGACTTTGAGCTGTTCTGCGCTCAGTCCTTTTCTGCTAGTTTTGGACTATATGGTGCGTCTACCGGGGATATCAATTATTATTGTATATACTTTTGAATTCATTACATTTAGGATACATTCAATTATTCGATGTAGTGAACCAAACTAACTTGCGCTAATGGAAATAGTATAACTAAATTAAGATGGATTAAAATTTAAAATAGATATTAATATGACCCCGGAGCTAAAATTTCTAAAACCAAAAAGGAAAGATGTACCCTGTGATGCAGGAGTACTGCTTTAGGTCACCGTAACAAAACTGATACAGCTCTTACAAAGATTGACTGTGTTAATTTAAAGAAGAACTCCCACATTGCAAGGGCTAAGTGCTTGTTTTCGTCTAGAGTCAAAAATTACAAAGTTATGCTCATCTGAATCTTAGTCCCATCTGGCTTCTTGAGCGGTCTCTACAGCCTCGCTTTCCCTAAGTTCCAGCAATGGACTGTCCCTCGCTAATACACCGTATTAGACGTGATGCCTCAGGGCCCAGTCACACCATCAAGAGTGCGTTCCAGTGCATTCGGCCTCTGGAACGCAACCTTGCCGACTCTCTTTGTTTTGGGGCGTGGCGATGCATTGAACTCAATGCCACCGTAGCCACACCCCCTGCCCACGGTGCGTTCATCGACACCCGAACGCGTGGCACATTAGTGCCTGCGTTCTGGTCCAGTGAGATCTGCAAAAAATAGTGCATGCAGCATTTTGTTGGTGTGACTGGGCCCTCACGTATACTTAGACAACCAGAGGAGAGGGTTAAGAGAGTCTACGGGGACCGGTCTAGCAGCTCAGAGGTTCAGATGAGTCCCTTAGACCCTTGATGGAAACAAGCACTTAACCCTTGCAGTGCAGGGGTAACCCCACTGCAAGGGCTAAGATTTATTCTGTAGAGAGTTTAAAAAAAAAAATTGTCCATAGACAATGCTTTGCAGTGTGGGGGCAGCCCCACTGCAAGGGTTAATACAATTTTTACCTAGAGGTCTTCTTTAAAGTAAGGGGGAATACACAGATATCACTAGAATAGGTGACCCTGTTGAAAATTGTACTCCACTTGCTTCCACTACTGGTGATAACCATAATATTTTGGATTTTCTGTCCAAATGGTCACCATGACAAATAGAGAGGATGAATCTTTTCTCTTCTGTACTCTTTCCAAAGCCAAAACCAAAGTTTGGGTGTAGATATACTTTTTAGAATCCTTGTTCTCAATCTAGATGATTTATGTTTTTCTGTCACTGACTCTTTTTTTTTTTCTCACCTTCAGGTGAAAGCGTTGGAAGCTTGCTCATAGTCATGAGAAGTAATGGAGTTTTGATTGGTGTTCGCTCCCAGATGGTACGTCTTGTGCTTGGGAAATGGTCAACGCCGGCAGCTACTGGAGCACGGGTGGTAGCCACAGTCCTTAATAACCCAACCCTGCACCTTGAATGGTGAGTCAGTATGGCGCCTTATATGTCATTTTCAGTAGGTATCCTGCCGCACTCCTCACCGGAAACACTCCTCACCAGAAACGCCTTAGAAGATGGGTGCTGAAGTGACTACGGATGGCGCTGTACAAACCAGGAGAACAAGATGTCACCAGCACACTGTAGAAATGTGTGCAAACGAACATCTTTTTTGACACATATTGTCACAAGTGAAGCAATGTTTCAGGCAGTGGCTGAACTACCAGGGTCGCAGCGGTCACAATTGCGACAGGGCCCTGGCATTCCGCCTGTTGGGGGGATTGCCCAGAGAAGAAGAAGAGCCCCCTCAATAGTGCTGCTCCTTCCCCAGGGATGGAGAAGCTGTACAGGTGAGCGTTCACCTGTCAAGCAGAATGTGCTGCAGGCACCACCAGGCAGGATATTCTACTTTGTGGGAGAGGACCCTCTCCAATGAGACCCACCCCCTGGCCACCGATATGCGGCAGAAGGTGCTGCAGGAGTCAGGTAA